CACATCCAAACTGTCAAAATTTGTCACACTGTATTGAAGATGTTTTGAAGAGGTTTTCAATATGCCATGAAACAACAGCTACTCATCCCCAGAAATAATGAAACATATGCAAGCTTTAATGTACTTTTACACCTACACTAAACCACGTCTGCAACATCCTGCACTGTATTATCAACATACAGTCTATTTAAATCCAACATTTAAAGACAAAGGAGGTGTTATACTCTCTCATAGTGTATATCAAAACACCTAGTTTTATGTAAACGTATGATGCAAAACCCATGTTCTGAAGATGGAATCTGCGGGGCTGGATGTAGGTGGGAGTGCAGTTTTCTCTTGAGTAAAAGGTCAGGTTTACAGCAGCAGAGCTATTTATATGATAATAATCTAAATGTCTTAAAGGATTTTTTTATACCACAGGATGTGCTGTAATACTGTTTTTGTTGCCTCTACAAGTAAATGAAAACAGTCATTTCATGTTTTTCTGATTCTTGTCAGTTCTTTGTCTACTTTGTCTACTCTCTCCTGTAGTTTGTGTTTTGTGAAAAATGCACCTAAAGGTGCTGGTGCAGAACTGTTTACATCAGTAGGTGGCGTAGTGTAGACGTTAATTTTGGAGACCAAAAATTACCTCCCCAAGCATAACTCATTCATTACGAACGCAGGGTCACAATTAGATGTAATTTATTTTGCATGCTTAATATTAGGATTACATGCTTGTGCGTTTTAATTAGTCCGATATGACACACCTATTCCACCAAATACAACAGCACGAGTCTCATTTTATATAGAAAATAAGCTGAACTTGTTCGTTTTTTCAGGATCTAAGATGACATCAGGTTACTCTAATCGTTGTTGCTCTGGTACAGTAGCCTATGTTGTTCAGTTCTCATTTTTTCTTTTTTTTTAAAATTTCTATTTTATGTTGTACCGCATCACACCAGAGGATGGAGCCAGCTTGAGAGTCTAGAAAACACTGCTGCTGTTGAGCGTAAAAGGGGAGTTTCGGAGCTTGGCAACATCTCTCTTGACGGTGCCAGGTGTGTTCAAACCTGTAGCAGACAAACGCTCGCAGATGTCTTTCAGCTCAGTCATCATGGGCTGGATCTCAAAAGCGTAAACCGCCAACCGGTAAGCGCTGCCGCCCGTCTATTTTCAGCCTACCCACAGGTATGAGGGATTTCTCATTGACGCACTAAATTTCAGCGTCTGACACTCCACGATATATCGCCGAGTAAGTAAAAATATACTCTGTTTATATTTTTATTACTACTTCACGTTTTGAGGCTCCTCTACAAGACGAAGGAAAGCGCGGATATGGTTCCAGAGAAGCAATGGAAAGCATAAAACCTTGATTATCTTCTGGTTAACCATATCGCTGCAGTCAACTCTCCTGTTTTACGCACAAAAAGCGCTCGGAATTATTGAAACCAAGGCAACTGTGCGCACACCGGAGCATAAGCCCGTGGGATGACAGAGCTCAGCGGCAAATTCACGGGTGAAGATAAGCCTCATAAATGTCAAGAAGATGAAATTCCCTGCAGGTCGCGAGAATAACTCACGAGGGTTTATTAGGCCGCATCACTTCGCGCTCATTTAACAACAAAAAGCCGAGGCGACTCCTACCAGTTAGATTGTTAGTTATTTGAAAAGGGGACAACCATGTCTAGAACACTGAAGAAGAAGAAACACTGGTCCTCTAAAGTGGTGGAGTGCGCCGTGTCATGGGGGAACCTGGGAGACTTTGGCTCCGTGGTGGAGGTCCTCGGAGGAGCAGAGCTTGGACAGTTCCCCTACCTGGGCCAAATGAAACTGGACGTGCTGGTGTGTCACGTAGGGAAGCTTCCCTACTACGGAGACGTTCTGCTGGAGGTGAACGGGACGCCTGTCAGTGGACTTACAAACCGGGACACACTGGCTGTCATTCGTCACTTTCGGGAACCGATTCGCTTAAAGACCGTCAAACCAGGTGCGTCCACTACTTTCAAACCTCATCGCTACTGCTGGTGTGCAACTCGAGTTTCTGTTTTTGTAAGATGAGCGTTTTGATAGGTTACACACACTAACCCTAACTACCCACATGCGTATGTACACCAAGTAATGCAGGACTCATTATTGATGATCATCACAACTACACAAACATTGATATAACTAGTTTTTAAATTCTTTTGGTACTTACAATATAAACATTTATTAACCACCTCAAAATAAATCAGAAAGGTAAAGAAAAAATATTAGTCTATCCCTGTCTACCCGCAGCTAAATAATTCTGCACTTCTTAAAGGACAGCCCAGACTTAGACTATAAATCTCCTACTGTCTCGGAGCATCTAAGTGGCCAATTCGACCACCACTTTCTCGGGGAGAGCAAATAGTGATAATGGTAATAATGGAATGCAGCCCAGTAGCTTCTAAGCTAAGTGCACTTACATGCATAGAAAGAAGGCCTAATTACTGCCACCCATTATTCAGGCTTATTTGCTGCCCGTTGGACAGAAGTTGGTGTGGATAACTGCTCTGTGTTTTATCCCACTGTCCCATCATTCCCCATCCAGCTTTCTAAGGATGATTGCTTCAACATCCCAACTCTTGCTTTAATGCTGGGATGGCTTGGTAATGCTTCTGTTGCTGCACCATGGCTCTGACCCAACCTGAAGTAAAGGGTTTTAGTGACACTGGTGGGGCAGCTTTGTGGTTTTAAGTTAGAGGGAGATGACTTTACTTTGACTACATGCTGGAGCTACAATGTCTAAACAACAACTACTAAGGCTGTTGAAAAGGTTACATCAGCAGCAGCAGCAGCTGAGTCTCAGGACCTCAGGCCAGAATCCCTGAAGATCAGCTGTATGTGTGCACATGCAAACTTGTGGTGTGTCTGTGCGCATGTGAGTGTTTTCATCCTTAGAAGTGTTTCAGCATTTTTAAATTAATAATGTTTTATATCTTTTATAAGTAAAAGATTAAAGGCAAAACTGCCTAGATCTATGAATACAGAGCCTGTTAGTGTGAATGCACATGAAGGTGTGTGTATTTCATGGCTTTACACTCTGCAGAGCTCCTTACACCATGCTCTCTGCCCCACTAACCAAGGATGATTAATAAAGGGCCTGAAGGAACGATAGAGCAAGGCCAGGAGAGAGAGACACAGTGGGAGAGAGAGGAAAGCAAAAGGAGAGAGACATGAAGGGAGACGGGGAGAAAATCGGCTCTGCCTTTGCTCCAGGCTCGACTCCCACGCAAGGCTGTTTTGGTCTTTAAAGCTCACAGGGAAGTAATAGGTGGCAAAGATGGCAAAATTCCTTGTCACATATTTCTTCACTGTCATCCTTACAAGTCTGACCTAGATGCCCATACGCTCATTCATTAACATGCTCTTCACTGTTCCTTTAGCAAAGAAGACCTCACAAAGCCCCCCGGCATCAGCATACAGATGGGAGTCTTATATTGTATGGTTACGCATTATGTATCTGTGCACATCTGTGTTGTGTGTATACATTCCTATGAGGTAGCTTCATGTTTAATTCACATCTCTTACATAATTGAGTTAGCGAGTGGATTTTCTCCACTCTGATGGAGGAAATAGGCCTAGATCAGCTGTTACTAGCAAGCCCACTAAGCCACTTTAATAGTGGACAGAGTCCCTGGGACTACCAGATGTTCTACTATACTCTTCCCAGTTTCTTCTTGTGCTCTTCTTGTCTTGCCCTCTGGAGCTGATGGGCATCCTACAAAGCTGACATGTGGGGCAGAGTGAGGAGGGAAGACAGAGGTGCAAAGACAGAAATGGGAATTTGAGGAAATGATAGAGGGGAGACATACCCCTCGTCTGTGGGGGGATTTGTCTCTCTTAGCCTTTGATCGAAAAGTGAATGTGAGCTGAAAGAGTTGTAGAAAGTATTTCAAGTAGTCTTCTATAGCTTGCTCTGGTGCATTATAGTATATTCTCTAGAGGCTGCCTAGAAGTCTCTTTCACATACATCCTCACATGCATAGCCTTTTGGTATTACAATAACAAAGTTCATACTATGCCTTTTCTAAGGCTTAACAACATGCCACAAGCTGGATGTGCCCATTTGGTATCTTTGATTAAGCTAGGAGATGCCTTTATTAGAAGCTTTGCGCTCAGAACAGGAATCTATTTTTGCCCGTACCCCCAGCTAAAGAGCGGAAAAGATGTCTGATGAAAAGCTTTATGATTGGCATCCCAGAATTCCCTTTCCGCTGCACAGTTATTTTCTGCTGTGCCTCCTATATGTTTGCAGCTTCAGTCACTGTGCAATCAAACATACTTGCAACCTGTAACCATTTATGTGCAGCCGAATAGATGATGACTCTGGCATCAAATGAATAATTTCACATTGGAGTACACAGTGGAGCTAGTGCAACAAGCCTTCATTTGTCTTATAATACTAAGATTAGCTATGTGAATGTATGAAACGCATGTAAACAAGGCCTTGCTTTAAAATTGATGCAACCTGGTTCTTCTTCGTCTACGTCAGTTGGAGACGGAAAACGTAATACATATAGTCATGCAATCTAACAGTAGTCACCAAATTACAGGTTTATTTTAATGAAATGGTAATTGAGTGAAATACTCAAACATCTCTGGGGTGTGTGAATAACATTATTTTGATTTGGAAATGATATTCATTTTATCTTAATTGATTTCAATATTTTTTAATTGTTCCTCTGATAATGGGAACATATCACATCTGCAAAATAGCTTAATTCATCTGTTCCTGTAAGCTGCAGAGTTTCAGAGGCTAATTTTGTTCTTTATTGTCTTTCAATTTTGAACCCAAATTACATAATTGAGTTTGTACAAAGCTGCAGTAATTCTGCTATTGATAACACTTTGTTGCCTGCTCTTGATCACAGTTTGATTTACCTGATTCTACTCATACAGTAGCATTTTCCATTTACCTGCTGTTGATGCCAATAGAGAAAAATACACAGTGACATGAGCCCCTAAGCCCCTGTATCAAGCAGCAATAATGAGTGTGGGTTAATCACATTAATGCACCTCTCATATCAGAAAGTGCCTCTCAATGGAATCATCTTCCTGACAGGCGATGCTTTGTCGTTGCAAAGAGATTTGCAGTTGGCTGCAAAAAATGAGGGATTGAGTGAGAGTGGGAATACATCAGTCCAGAGAGCCTGGTCAAATAACTGGAGACATCTGTTCTTGCCTCAGATATGTTTCTGACAATCAGCTGAATGAAGCCAGAGAGCCACTGTGCACACCGCTCCTTTGGAACAGGACATGTAACAACGTAATTTAAGGCTGAAATAGCACTTTCTTACTGAGTTGAAACTGATTATGAGTGTTTTTATGCAGATTCAGTAAGACATCAGCTGTGTTTTTAATCTGCTTTGGCTTGGGAACTGATCTTGGTGATCTGTTATTGGATGATCAACGCTTTGGTGATTATTTCATTACTTTCTAAACTTCTATCGTGATTTTCAATTCTCCTGTTGTTTTGCTTTGTATACTTTGTGCAACCTGCTTTAGGATCTCAAATAAATACCTGACTGTATTGTTTATTGGAAATAAATATTCTTAATCACGTTGGCGTTAGTTGGCTGAAAAGAATTAATGAGGAAAAAGTTGTGCTGATACATGCAATAAACTGTAGGCACTGATGAATTTTCATTGACCTCATTAATAATTTAAAATGGAGGTAATGCAGATGATAGATTATAGAAAATGAAACTGCACAAATCTCTGCTGGACACTTATATGAGATATAAGCATAATATTGCATCAGCCAGCCTGCTGGCTCCTTCTGAATTTATTAAAAACATCACAGATCTACTATCCTCAAATGGATGGGCTTAAAGAACCTTACCTGGCGTTTTCTATAGTATGTTTCATGTTTGTACCTAATTACTGCTGTTTTCTAAAGCAAGCTGTAATGTTTCAGTTCTTGTTTTTTCCCCTGACTTTACAGGTTTCCATGGTTTTCAGTTCTTTTAAATGAAATATAAAAATCACTCCTCTAGAGAGTCTATAAAGGTTATTATCACAGTGTATGTTTTTATTGTTGCCATATATGACTGTGTGGTAACAGCACATAGATTTTTCACTCACAACTGAACAATGGCGACATAACTGTAACGACAACAAAAGCCGGCATAATGTTCACTTTGATTCTCATTCTGTTCTGAATTGACTTGGAAAGTCTGAAATGCTACATGGAAATACAAAGCTAAAATAGGGTTTTGTTACTTAGAGAAAGTTTTTTAAAACCTACTATGGACAAACTAAGCCGAACTCAGCTTTTAGCTACTACCATAGCTTTTCTTTTAACTATATACAATAAATATCTGACATCATTGGGAGAATAGGGTTGGGAATATGTCTGAAGTTGCCCTTTCTCAGTTGTAGCACATAACTGGAAATAGGCTCTTTCAAAGGATTTCTCACTACAGGAAGTATTTAGTTTGGTAAGGTCAGGGTGCTGCTTGGATAGAATAGGGCAGGAGGAAGGAAACGCTGTCCACTTGCTGTGAATTCACTGGACAATTACCTGTGCAATTGCCACATGGGTGCAGTCGGACATCACACAGACTTTGTACTAAGGAGCTGACAGGCAAAAGACTGTTCAATTTCTGATCCAAATGGAGTTGTTATTACATGTGTAAAAACGGCTATAAAATCTTCTTGATGTTGCTCAGTTGTCATGGAGCTGAATCTTTTCACTATTGATACGATTCTATTAAAAGAGTGATCTCCAGTCACTATGTTGTTATCAGACTTCTATGCTAGGTATTGGTGAATATAGCAAACACCATGATCAAGCATAAAGTGGCTCAGAAATCTGCTTGATACCATTAGCACTGTAGGATAAAGTTCAGTGATCGACTTTGCTGTTGTGTCATCTGAACCAAAGCTGTATGTCTTAAACACTGAAAAGAGGAGTGGAGCTGTCAGGTGATCACTGCATAGTGGTGAGTTGGTCCAGCAGTT